ACCAACCTGGAATGCGAATTCAATTTGCAGAAAGAAAAAAGTCAAAATAATTATGATACATCGCTAATTATTTTTTTTACTAGAAAGATGTCCAGAGACATTTGTTTTTGCCAACACTTCAAAATTTGGCAAAAATGTGACACAGCATTATCAATAAATAAATTTGCAACACGCATAGCCACTTCCTTATTAGGGTGATGCTTCTTAATGTAAGATGCAACAGTTTGCCATGCTTTCAGCATTTCTCTGATTTCGCCAGAAGTTTGTTGCTTTTCTGTTACCTCCTCCTCCTCTGACAAACTTTCCTCCAAAACTTCTTGCTGTGAAACACAATAAGCTCTTGGGTGGTCAGCTCTTGGCTGTGCTCTTCCACAAGCTCTTAGATATCACTGTTATCCACCTACAATCCCATGATAGTGGCCAAAGACACAATCTTGTTGACTACAGGTTCCAAAGGATACTGTCTCGAACCCCTCAAAGTCACAAATCGACAACGATCTCTGGCCAAAGCTTCTTCCAAGCAGAAGTTAGGGTTCTCTTGGTAACCCCTTCCTCCTCCTTGTTGATCATCTTGAGGGAGGCAACGATGTGGAAGTGATTTTTCCAAAACTATTTGAGAGTGGCGTTGGTCACTTCAGTCACCTGAAAAAAATGTTTGAAGAGTGCTTTAGTGTAGAGCTTCTTAAAGTTAGAAATAACTTGCTGGTCCATGGGCTGGAGTAACAGAGTGATGTTGGGAGGCAGAAACTGGATTTTGATGAACTTAAATTTTTCAGAGAGGTCATCTTGTAGGTCTGGAGGATTCATGTACATTTATCACAATATAACACAAGTTTGAGAAAATGCCACACTATGATGCTACTGGAACGAGTGCTAAACACAGACTGATATAACATGCGCACAACTCGGGACCTCCCCTTTCCTCGCTATGCGAAACGTCGTTCGTTAAGCAAGTAATTTTTTCACAATTTGCTCGTTATGCAATTTACTCATTAGGAGAGGTGCTCGTTAAGCGAGGTTCTACTGTATATATATATATATATATATATATATATATATATATATATATATATATATATATATATATATATATATATATATATATATATATGATATATATGATATATATGATGATATATGATGATATATATATCATCATCAACTGGCACTGGATGGGTGTAGTCATGATGGCTATCCTCCGAATAATGGCCACATATTATGGCGGCCAAAACAAACCCTGACAGGGTCTCATTAAGTCGTGTGTTGTAAACATTAAAAAACTTGAACTGAAAAATAATGAGGAACGGAAAAAAGGGAAAATGACAAAATCGACTACTTAGCGATAATTGAGGCCTTTATATCTGAAAATAGTGGCAAGAAAGTTGCAAATAGTGCCCGAAAATCTGCTCTTTGTGGCTGTGGCACCATTGAAACTCGGCTAAATATGATCAGTGCCGCATTAGTAACGCAGTATCTCTAAGAGATGGGGGAGCTAAGCTAGATAGCTGTGACTCATGAGCAAATAAATTAGAGGTAGTTGCAGGAGATGTGGTAGCTGCAGCTCGTGAGTCCCAGCCATCTAGTTAAGCTCCCCCATCCACTCTGCGCGTAGCAGCACGGGGGATACGTTTGGCTGAGAGTTTAGTCAGAAGAACATTATCGTTAACCTGTGTCTGAGCGCGTGGTCTCCCCGCCATGTCGCTATTATCGTGTGTATTGTTGCGTTTTTCGAAATTGTCAACGGACAATAATCCTAGTTTTGCCACGATGTGTTCGTCTGAGGAAGTCCGCAATTTACATGCGATTGAGGCCCTGTCACGGTGTGTTTTGGGCCGCCATAATATGTAGCCGTTATTCGTAGGATAGCCGTCATGGTATGTTACTTTCCATATATTCTGATAATTAATGCCGCTCTCCTCTGAACTTTTACCACGTCATTATGGCACTAAGATCGGCTCCGTATAACTGCGTTTTGCGCATGCCGAAAAGGTTGAGGACAACGACGACGCTAATCTGAGTCGGAGCGCGTGGTCTCCCCGCCATGTCGCTTTTTATCATCTGTAATGTTGCGTGTCTCGAAATTGTCAGTATCTTATGCAGAAATGCTCGAAAGTGTCAACGGTCGCTATTATCATCTGCTACTATCGTCTACAAAGTTGCTTCTCTTGAAATTGTCAGGTAATTCTAGTTTTGCGTGATTTGTTCGTCACCGAAAGTACGCAAATTTTTAATAGGACTGAGGCCCTGTAAGGATATTTGTTTGGCCGCCATAATGCTGGGGTAGAAGTTCGGAGGAGAGCCATTAATGCTGACTACTGGTCAGTTCAATGATGTCGGTTTATTTTATCTATGCCTACCTCGGTGGGGATTTGAACAAATTACTAATGATTCTTTTATGTCTAATCCTTGAATTCATTTGAAACATGAAATATTGTTGTCAGCTACAGACGAAGAAAAAAGAATTCAAAGTTTGGCTCTCCTTTCAACTCAGGCCGTTAGCTGAAAAGCGGCCGATCGCTTAGTTGGAGTTATCTCCCTTGGCTGCATTGCAAACACGGAGCGGAAAAGTCACGAATCAAACAACAAGATCAACATGGCAGTTAGACATCGAGCTCCGGCTCACATAACCAACAACGTTCTTGCGACGCACAACTTAGTTGCCACGGATGTGACTCCTGCAGATCTGTATGCCTTAATAACCGATAAGTATGTGTGGTTGCGGTGGCTAGCTGAGCATAGTCTTATAAGGAACATGCAACTGTGTACCTCATGCAACCGACCTATGTCCCTAGCGCCTCGGCAGGACTGTAGCGACAGATACTGTTGGCGTTGTCATCGTTGTCATACTCGGTGTAGAGTTCGCACCGGGTCGTTTTTCGCCAACTGCGACATGCCAACCGAGAAAATAGTCATGATGATATACTACTGGCTCTGTGGCGTAAGTTCAACGACTGTCATGGTCTTCGAGAGACTCACGTCCTGGTCCACCATTGTCAACTACACCAATTATTTCCGACAGGAATGCTATAATTGGATGTTGAGACACACCGTGGAGTTGGGAGGACTCGATGAGACCGGCAGATCTGTAGTGGTTGAAGTAGACGTCACGGTCGTTGGGTCGTAGAAATAGTAGAGCGTCAGACTGGCCGTTGCTACTTGGAGCTTGTGCGAAGACGAGATGCGGCGACATTGGAGAGGATCATAACAGATCACGTCCTGCCGGGAACGACCATCGTGACTGACGCTTGGCGAGGCTACAGCAACGTCGCAAACTTAAGGCATGGCATCTATCTGCACGAGGTAGTAGTCCACCAGACCAACTTCGTCGACGTCGCGCACAGTCACATACACACCCAAACAATCGAAGGACTGTGGATGCTACTCAAACGGACAATTCGCCACTGATTGGGCATCAGCCGCGCGCTATTGCCGTCATATTTGGGAGAATTCCAGTGGCGCCACTCCCACAAGCATCAGATTGTCGGCCAGTATTTGGAACTCCTACGTCAAAATTTTCACATCTAACCCTACCCCTAACCCCAACCCAACCACTAACGCCGATAACCCTATCCCTAACCCAAACCCTACACAACCGTATGATGACTACGCAACCGTATGATGATAGGTAAGTATGTCATTTGATTCGTGACTTTTCCGCTCCGTGTTTGCAATGCAGCCAAGGGAGAGAACTCCCACTAAGCGATCGGCGGCTTTCCAGCTAACGGCCTGAGTTGAAAGGAGAGCCAAAAGTTGGCTCTCCTAGCAGATTTGTCCGGCAAGCTAGACTGCGTCGGCCGGCTTAGTGGGAGTTATGTCCCTTCGCCAAACTCAAAACAAGTCGCGGAAAAAGTCACGAATCAAATGACATACTAACCTACCATCATCCAGGTGCGTGTAGGGTTGCGTACGGTTGCGTCTAGGGTTACCTATCATCCTACGGTTGCGCGTAGGGCGTCTATCATCATCATACGGTTGCGTGTAGGGCTGCGTAGGGTGTCTATCATCGTTCTACGGTTGCGTGTAGGGTTGCTTAGGGTTTAGGTTAGCGGTAGGGTTAGGGGTTTGGGTTAGGGGTTAGGGGTAGGGTTAGGGTTAGATGTGAAAATTTTCACGTAAGAAGTCGAAATACTGGCCGACAATCTGATGTTTTTGGGAGTGGCGCCACTGGAAGTGTGGCAAATATGACGGCAATAGCGTGCGGCTGGTGCCCAATCGGTGGCGAATTGTCCGTGTCAGTAGCATCCACCGTCTGTCGACTGTTTGCGCGTGCATGCGACTGTGCGCGATTATAGGAAACTACGGCGTCACAATTGTCACATCTAACGATACACCTAACCCCTAACCCTAACCCTAACTCTATCTCTAACCCTAACCCTAACGCTACCCCTAATCCTAACCCTACCCCTAACCCAAACCCTAATCCTACCGCTAACCCTAACCCAACCCCTAACCACGCAAATTTATCGGTCATTAAAGCTTACAGATCGGCAAAACACCCACAGACAGACACACAGAAAAAAACAACAAAAAACCCAGATTTTCCCGCAGCGTCAAAAGAAAAACCCAGATCTGTGGGACACAACCAAGCATTGGCAGCCCTGATGTCGACCTCACTGTCGTGTTTGAGTCGTGACTTTTTCCGCTCGTTGTTGTGAGTGCGGCCTAGGGAAAGAACTCCCACTACGCCGACCGAAGCCGACCTACTTGCCGGCCAAATCTGCTAGGAGAGCCCAAAAGTTTTGTAAGTGAATGAGTGAAGTTTCAAAAATAGCAATAATATTAATATTTATTTAAGAAAAATAAATACTTCATATTAATACTTGCTTTTGATAAAGTGTCGGAGTATATATGCTCTTAATAACATGTATAGCCGGAATATTACAGAGATTTATAAGTGATAACCTAAAAGACATGCTGTGGTGCACACCTCCATTCTTCACATGCAATCTTTTACTTTGCTTAGATTTACGACAACCGTAAATGTTTACTGGTCAACAAACATGGCGGACACAACCTGCTCTTTGGCTGCGAAAATTTGCCGGTCTAGGTAAGTGAATTGGCGTTTATTTTCTGCTCAGTGATATTAATTTACAGTTTACTCTCAGTTATCGGTTAGCCGCGATTATTTTAAGTAAGCCGCTTACTAAGAAGCTGCCTTAGGCTCTTCTTACATCTTCAGCATTCGCCTCGGAGCAACTCAGGTTCGCATACACTATACAGTACAGTTAAAAAAGACAACAAAGGCCATCCTCTGAATCACGGTCCTAAATTATCGAGGCGGAAAATGTACCTTTACAGGGCCTCAGTCACGTGTCAATTGCGCACCTACGGGGACTATAACGCCACCGCCGAATTGCGAACTTCTGGCAACTTCCGCCACCGCCGAGAGTATCCCATACGCCGCTCACGAAGCGTGGATTGGGGCTGCGCGAGCGGCCTGAGGAATACTCTTGGCAGGGGCAGAAGTCGACGGAAGTGCGCAATTGACACATGACTGAGGCCCTATTAGGGTATATTTTCCGCCCGATAATTTAGGACTGTTATTCGGAGGATAGCCCAATTAAACAATAAGTAAAAAAACAAAACAAGATTCAGACAGCATTGATTATCTTCTTTGCGTTTACCAGCTGTAAACTCTGGCGGAAAGTTCTGGTTGTTTATACACTTCTGGACTGCAGTTCTGTTCCAGAACCTGATGAAGTGTTGTGTGTGCATCAGATTTATAAATCTCATTTGTATGCAGACTGAGACTGCTGGTTCGTTGCCTCTCAGGCAGATGAACTCCGACTTCGAAGGAAGCTCACAGTTAGTAGACTCTTACGACATGCTTTTGGGTAAGCAGTGGGTCTATTCTTGTTTTCAGTATAACATTATTAACAGGGCCCAAAACCCAAACAGGGATGTGGAATGGTTGGTGCTCTCCTGTCTGATACAAAACAATTCACTTGAAAAGGTTATAGTTATAGAAAATTTAATCACACTTAATGAGATAACGATTGCTAGGTTTTATTTTAATTATTAATACAGGAATGATGAAAATAAATGAAGAAAATTCCAACCTGATGTAATTTTGATCTTCTCGTTAAGAAAAGTGGGAATGATGTAGGTGGCAGTGTAGGCAAAAATGAGCAGCTGGTTGAGTGGTTATCTTCTCCTTAGCACTGGCCATGATAGGCTGGAACACCACTTGGTCAATAAGCTAAAGATAAGAGGCACTGATGATTGTAACTATGGAAATGGTAAACTGACGGCCAAACACTTGTTACATTCAAGAGTTATGTTATCACACTCGACACCACTGCACATTGGGCATTCCCATGCGGCTCAGTCCTCCTATACAGCAGCCACTCCAAGGTACTTCTACTAACTGTTCCCATGAGAAGTTGGTTATAATCTCTTTAATCTGGGCCTCGAAGATGGCATAGACGTGCTTCACTATGTTTTACTCCCATGTCACACGATCATGTTAGTGTCAGGGATTCCTCATTGTCCAGTAGCTCAGTCTGTACAGTGTTGACAATATCTGCTCTGTCCATACTTCTTTCCACATGCGTTTTTGCATTGCTTGCCAGTTGGTGCTGCAAGAGTGTCCAACATGTCCAGAACAGAGAAAATTATTCCGGCTGACACACGCTCCTTTTTAGTACAAACTCTGTGGAGATGTCAGCAACCTCAAGTTGACTGCTGGTTTCTTTAAATATATTCACATTGATGTCTGAATGTATAAAAAACAGAAAACTCAGGGATTCTCGGATTTGTTAGTCCAGAGAGATGCAGAGCCCATAAACCATGATATGGGAGGAAAATCAAACAGGCTTATCTGTACATATACTGCCATACTGGATGTCCCCTATGCATCTATGTGGGAAATGACATATGAAATTATAGTGAATGTTCAAGTCCACTGCAGTAAAAGTCTAACATGTAAAAGAAGTGGAGTACTCATTTTGTACAGGTAATAGAAATCCTAGGTCTGCAGGCTGCCTGCTTCAAGCTTCTAAAGACACAGCCCATGATGAATGAGATGTCCAATATATGGAAGTGAGGTTAAACCGTCTTTATCAGGACATGATGATTCCTTGGGTGAGCCCAGTACCAGAGCACCTTGTATTGGCTCTGCATGTATGGAAGCCTTCTTGGATGGGAGGGAATGCCCATGTTCTGCCCCTGCCTTCTCTGACATAGCTTCTATGGACTGGCCTGATGTGGAGCACAACCTTTAGCCTGGGAAACAAAAATGACAGCAGAACTGTGAGACTGCAGTGTCCCATGAATCTAACTGGGAAGGTTAACCAACCTGGTCAATAAATGCCTGCAGAAGTCGGATGTGTCAGTCCAAAGGAGCAAATATCACAGTCATGCTTTAAACAGGTACAATACAGTTACATCTTCGGATGAACGCAGAAGAAGAAGAATAGGGGAGCTAACATCAAGACCAAACCTACCCTTTGTTGCCTCTTATTGCATGTTAGGTTAAATGAAAACCCTATACTTTGCTTGAATTATACCTAAATATGTAATAAAAGTCAATGGTGTTATTTTAGGACAAGTACAGAAATTTAAGTATCTGGGCACATGGATAACATCAGATGGAAGATGCATAACTGAGATAAGAAACAGAATAGGACAGGCAAAAACTGAATTTTATAAAATGAAGAATATCTTGTGCAATATATCCTTGTCATTGAGAGTTAGAAAAAGAATTCTTTCTTGCTACATACATCCAGTTTTAGCATATGGCTGTGAATCCTGGACAATCAGTAGGCAGGCCAAACAATTTCTTGAGGCCTCAGAGATGTGGTTTTACAGAAGAATGCTTAGAATACCTTGTACAGCCAAAAAGAGCAACCAAGAGGTTTTGAAAGAGGCGGGAGCCCGAAGACAACTTATCACAGACATCAGAAGGAGACAGTCATCATTTTTCATTATGAGAAGAGGGAAAATAGAACATTTTGTGACCACTGGAAAGATCTGTGGAAAGAGGGATAGAGGAAGACAACGAGAGAAGATTCTTGACAGTCTTGTTGCATGGCATGGAGGTGTGTCGGCACATGAACTGATACATGCTGCAGGAGATCGCAGATTATGGAGAGGCATGATCTCCCACGCCACTCAGCAAGGCACCTAATGATGATAATGATGATGATACTTTGCTTCTCCTAAGGGCTCTACCAACAAATAGGCAGATTTTTTGTTACCAATGTAAATAAAAATTCAAAAAATGTAATGAGACCGATCAAAGAGACCACACATCGTCCATTGTTTGCCACCTTTTGACATTGTAATCAAGGACAATTCATTTCAAATTCTGTATATGTTGACCAATGGCAGAGTCCTAGGATTTCTTAAAACTAATTAATAATCAAATCACTTCCATCCAGATTTGTGTAAACTAAAGGACATGGTAGGGAACTATATTTGCATTTGTAAAACAGGTAGTTATTTTTTAGTGTAGTTGATTTTACAGTTCAGTCATAAAGGATTAATTTTTTTGCTTTATTATATTCAATTATTACACCAGTATGCACCTGACATGATACAGAGAAATATGCCAAGCAATAAATTCTGCAACCTGTTGTGTGTTTTCTTTGTTCAATTAAAATATTTGTCAGAAAGCGTACCTTTGTTATTTTTGCCCTAGATAATATGCTATTGATGGTTTTTGCTGCAAGTTATGTTTTAGTGCCAGTGTTTGTTAAAAATTATTAAACAGCACTTTAATTGGTGGTTAATAAATTGTAATTTTTATGTTCAGAGTCAGCTCAGTGTTGAATAAGGACACTAAACAGTTTGGTAAAAATAACTTGTTTGATAACAGTGAAGAAACATGTTGGAATTCAGATCAAGTAAGTGATACATAATTTTGTTTTTGTGGGTGCTTTTTCTATCTGTGCTTCACACTTATTTATTGAAGACATGCAGGGTAATTAGCAGGCTGATAGATTGGCTACTGGTGCTCCTCTGATAAAGCAGATGTGCTGAAGGCTCTCTGTGATCAAATGGATAGTGCAATAGAACATAGAGGTAATTCATACATTGAAGGTCTAAAAGATATGCAACACTGAGAGGGAAAACATAAACAGACTTTTAATCAGGTTGCAACTGGTACTATTCGCATGTTGACTCTCTGTTGGCTTCTGAGGAAGGTGATGGAGTACATGTGGGAATGTCCCAAGTGCAGTGATGTCAGTATTCAAGTCACTCATTCGTTCACTTCATTCATCCATGTCTTTTTAAGGTTATTTAGTCCAATTCATTTTCGGTACCATCTCCACAGTGGAGTCTGGCTGCAATGCATCCACTACTTGTCTTTGGGAATATTACATGACAAAGTCCCTGTCTTTTCCCTGATGTAACTCTCTCACATCTATCCGAAAGTCATAAAAATTTTGTTTTTTTAAACCAAATACCATGAAAACCAGAGTGTTTTAGTGGGGCATGTGAATGGGCCTCACTCATCATGTAGCAGGTCCTTTGCAGAACGTTGTTGTCATCACAGTCTGTCTGAAAAAAACTTAAGTTTCTCGCCAGCATTCCCACCTCATGCATTTTCCTACCCAAATGTCACTTGTATCCTTTGTCTATCTTCATGCTGGTCGACCCCTGCCCCTTTTTTTCTGATAGTATACCTTCTGCTTTTATACCTTACAATTCACTGTGGTGCTTGATATGGCCAAAATATTTCAGGTTCTGAGACAAGGTTTACTAACTAGTCTTCCTTGATGTTCGAATCTTTTCGGATGTAATTTTTTCTTTTCTTCTAGGTCCATGGTATTCTGAAAATGCTTTCTATAGTATATCAGCTTGAAAGATGGGCCATGCAAAGGTCAGCAGTATAGATGATGTCAGTAGGGGATTCGTTTGACACTGAAAGAGTTAAGAAAACCTGGTCATATAACTAGAATGACCTGCTACTAAAATCTAGTGTGTGAAGAGACCTTCATTCACACGGAGATGAGTATTACCCTCACGTTCCAGTAGCTGTGAAAAAAAAAAAAAAAACTGTGACTCTGGGATATCTTTAGAAAATCCTTTAAAAAAAATTTTTTTACCCAGGTGACTAACAGTATTTTTTTTTTTTAAATATATTTATGTGTATTTTGTTTTCATTTTTTCAAAAATGTATAAAGATGTATAAAATGAAAAGTCAGTAAACATTAAGAAAGTGAAGCATAACATGGAATAATTCCTGAGGGCCTAAAAGAAAAATGAACTGGGTTATCTTGTGACCTTTATCACTGAGGTGTACAAGAACATTTAACGTCAGATTGGCTTTTAAAAAGCCATTTGGTTTAAAGGACCCCCCCCCCCCTTTTTCCCCCTTTCCACCCCAGTGCTTTTTTTTAGTTTATATCAAAATCACTTAGACAGATGCTAACTCACCCAATAGCATTAACTGTGCATTTCCTAAACACCTCACTTTAAACAAGTTGGAAATGTTACATTTACGGAAAGTTGCCCGCGGCTGGAAATGTCAGTTTTGCGGCTTCTCTGGGTGGCAGTGTTCAAGACAGATGAAGGACATGGTTTAGCATGGGTTGGTTTTGTGTCTGTGCTGCATTAGAGATTGAAGAATAAAGCAGGAAAAGAGAGTAGAAAGAATCAACTGCCACATTTATGATTTCTTACAAGAATGTATTTCTTCTACTTCTTTGTTGACCCTTAAAAAGTGTTTGTCATAATTTGTTTTAGTTTACAGCTAGGCAGTGATGTCTACGTCTTTCTGCCCAACACATCCAGTTTCAGTAAACTCCTAATTAGTCGCCTTTTGTGCTATTCTTGCTAGGGGGCAGTGGGTCTAGTATTTTTGCCGCACAGTAGGGCCCTGGAATCCAGAAGGGGATTACAAATTTTTGGTTTCATTCTTAAGGCAGTGAGTTCAGTATACTTGTGTTGACTTTCTTTCTCTGTTTAATTCTCAGGGCAGCCCACAGTGGATTTTGCTGGAATTCGGTGAGGAGGTTTGTGTGAAGGAAATTCATATTCAGTTCCATGGAGGTTTTGTTGGCAAAAATTGCTGGCTTGAATCATCTCAAGCAGGTAGCAAAGATTTGACCAAGTTTCATTCATTTTATCCTCAAGATATTAACCAAACACAGGTGAGTGTTCAGAGGTCTGCTGGTTGATTGTTTGATGTTTTATTTTGTCCAGGGAAGGAAACTGACCATACTTCTTAATTCTTTCATCCAGAATATCAAGAAGAAAGTGGCAGAAACCCTTGGAAATTCTCAGAAAATAATTCTTTTTAAAACACAATTTTACACAGGTTACTAACACATTTTTTAATGCATTATGTGTATCTTCTTTTAAAAAAAATACTTTTTCAAACATATAAGGTGAATAAACTATAAGCACAAATGAAGTAAAGCATTAACTCTTTGAGTCCCAAGCATTTATAGGTTCCTACCTAGAAGCCCAATGAACGCATGATGTGCCGATTTTATGACTCTTTCTACTACCCTCTGGGCCTGTGATGCTAAACCCCCTGGGACTCAAAGAGTTAAATGGAATACATTTGCCAGGCCTAAAATAGTATGCATTGGGTTACTCATAACATGACCTCTAACACTAAGACTACAGCAAATTATGACATCACAGTGGCTTTAAAAAGCCATTTTGTTCACAAGTCAGTATTATTATAATGTGCAATATAAGAAAAACAATGGCATGTATTTGTGTTGAATATTTAATTGCAAAATCCTTGTATAAGACGACTGAAAAAATTGTGCAAAACAGATTGTCTGATACACTGAAAAGTACAGTATTTGTTTTCTGATATGCACTAATATAGATAAAGATGGGGGAACCAATAGATATATTAAAATATAAAAACAGACGGCAAGAGGAGCTTTCATTACACTAGGAAAATTATCTTTCTTGGTTCCTTGCCTCTCAGGCAGATGCACTCAGAATTTGAAGGAAACGCCCAATTTGTTGACCTATATGATCAGTCGGCTCTGTGGCTAAGTCGATGCGAACACTTCGCTTCGTAATGCCGGGATGCCAGGTTCGATCCCAGCTGCGGGTCATGCGCCTTGCGTTGGTTTCGACAGTGGTATCAAGAAAGCTGACCGTCCAGAAAGCAATGGCAAACTACTGGACGTAAATTTGCCTAGAGAAACCACACAACAGCCAGGGGCTGTTAGGGTTGGTTCTGCAACGTCCTCTAGAGGATACGCAACAACCTTTTTATATGATGTCAGCTTGATAGAGAGGCACCATCTGTTCTACTCCCCCCCCCCTCCCCTCCCCCAACGGAATATGGTAGCCGCAGCATCTACATGGGGAAAGTGCTGTGTATAAACTTCTTGACATCATTTGTAATGTCTGTATCTTAAAATAGGCAAAAATGGTGTCATCACCACAGTGGAGGTTGGCTGCAGTGATTATCTATATCCACTGCTATCTTTGGGAGTATATACTTGCTTTAACCTCAATCTCTTTAATGGTGTGACTCTCATACCATTGTCCAAAAGCAATGAGAGCAGTTATGAACACAATTTCATAATTCCAGGTCATGAAGGTCCAAAAACTGACTGACTGACATTTTCCCCCAACAGGACATCCCATTCAGCAGTAAACACCAGGTGACACAAATTGTCACCATTCAGGTGAGGATCACCCGTGGAGAGGTCCCAAAAACCCTGTTCAACCCATTGGTCAGGTTATTTTAGGGCCTCCGGCAACAACCAGGGTGGGGCTTCAAAATAACGAAAAATGCATCCCACATGGGGACGGAGAATCGCATGTTGAAAGAAAGCTGCAGACACTTTAACAGCTGAATGTTCTGAGTTGATTCAACAAGAGAATGAGCAAACTTCTTCTCCACTCCTGTTCTGCCTTTCATCATCTGCCTTTCAGCCGATACTCGACTGTGAGAGGAAAGGCAAGACAAATGTAGAATCAGAATGCTGTTGGCACCATTTGTATTGGAACTCTATGCTGGCTGCTGAAGATGTGGATGGAGTGCTTATGGAAATGCTCCAAGTGCTGTGATGTTGGTACTTGAATCAACTCAACTCACTATCATGTTTTGAAGAGGCTTCGAGAGGGGGCCTTGGTATGTGCTACATGGAAGCTGGTATTTACAAACTTGATTATTCCATCTATCCATTCCTTGTGTAGTCAGCCTCTAGAATGCTTCTATTATGTCTGTGTTCAGGACTGTCTGTGGTGCACTATCTGGTTTTAGTCTTGACACATGTCCAAACCATTTGACCTGTTGTCTCTTGATATAGTTTATAACTGATTCCATCCCAACTGCTGTCCTGATATCATCATTTCTGATCCGGTCTCTTCTACTTATAAACTATGGAACATAAGACCACAAACAGCTTACAAATGCTCAGGTAAGTTTGCAGTGTTCTGTAATGGATCTGCAGCTAACATCCCTTTTTTTCATATTTATACCATGTAGGCTGGGTTCCAGATTGATTTCCAACTATTATTTTTATTTTCAGGTTTTCAGTCTTCCTGAGGTGGTGCCATTATCGAGTCTAAAAATTGTCTTTGATGACAGCACAGACTTTTTTGGTCGTATTACAATATATAAGTTAGATATTTTAGGTAAAGATTCTTGAAACTTATAAATGAAGTTTGTTGTGATGCTTTGTTGATAATAATAAAGATCTTTAGGACCACTAGTTGAATGTTCAACAGTTGTAATCTTAGATCTAGGCTTTGTTTAATATTCAAATGTAAAAAAGTAAAGTGAAAACATTATTGTGGAAAATTGATGTATATGGAGATATGCTCTATTAAAAGTGGTTAAAACCTGCAAGAGTGACCCTAAAATTAACATTACCATTCTCTTCAGACCGTGAAATCTGCTTTTTCATGTTCACTCTGTCCTAACGGGCATTGATAACATCTAGCTTGTCATGCACCGAGTGCCCTGGAACCATGCAATCTTAATCTTGTGCACCAAGTGACCTGGAATCAGATAATCTGTTTGCTTGTTTGTTTCACAACACAACTGCATACCTTAGGGAAAATATCCAAAGGATGCTAGCTACCCAGGATGTCAGAAGCAAAGCTTACTACTTTGCACTAAGCATGCCTGTCTCCACCTTTCTCAGCAAGCTTTTACAATCATAACGTGTGTATAAAGTGGAAGAATGCAGCAACTGCCTTCACCTCCATTCTCAAACTAAATGTTGTGGTATCATATACCACACTTTGTTTGCACTAAGTTCACTTTTGCTATGAACCCCCATGCACTTCTTTCTGCCTCTCAACACAGAGCCATCTGTAAAGATAATCACATCATCAGATGTGATCTGATTCTGCAGTGCCTGCCAGTCAATCCCCGCACTTCTTAATAAATGAATGAGTCGAATTGACGTCACTGCACTCGGGACATTTCCATGTGGGCTCCGTCCCCTTCTTCAGTAATGAACAAAGAAGTGACATGTTAACAGTATCAGCTGCAACCTGATTAAAAGTCCGCCTTTCCCCCCCCCCCCCCCCCCCCCCCCCCCCCCTCAATGTTGAATATTTTCCAGAACCTCTACACCACACCCAGCTGAATTAGTCTTTCAATGTATGCTTTCCCTGCCTGTTTTTTTTTTTTTTAGCACTGTCCATTTGATCCTGTAGATCCTTCATTACATCTGCTTTATCATACAGTAGCTCACCACCTAGAGGAGCAGCAGCTAATCTATCAGTCCTCTCATTACCTCACACACCCGAATATCCTGAACAAGAAATCCATCTGATTGTTGCGTGATCAATTTCTGGGAAGTCTATGAAACAAAATTTGAGGTTTCCGTGATAGCGTCTACCCAAAAAACCTCAACTTTAGAATGCAGTCTACTCCCCATGGAGGTTCCAAGGCCGGTGGGGGGGGGGGGGCACTGCCCCCTAACTAACATGTCATAAAAGGTGACAAATTAGTGGTGTTTCCTTAGAAATCACAGTGCATCTGCCTCAGAGGTGGGGAGCCAACCTTCAACATAGGCCAGATCTGTGAAATGGGTGTGCATGAAAAAACTCAAGATCTAAAACAAGACCAAAGCTCAGAAGTGTCTAAACAATCAGAACTTTCTGCAAGAGCTTAAAACTGGGAAACATCAAGAAGAATGCAACTCATTTTTTGGTATTATAATATACTTTTGTCGGCTCTATGGCTAAGTCGATGCAAACGCTTCGTAATGCCAGGGTGCCGGGTTCGATCCCAGCTGCGGGCGATGCGCCTTGTGTTGGTTTCGACAGTGATATCAAGGGGCCGACCGTCCAGAAAGAAATGGCAAACTACTAGACGTAAATTTGCCTAGAGAAACCACACAACAGCAAGGGGCTGCTGATGTTGGTTCTGCAACGTCCTGTAAAAGGATACGCAACTAACACACAAAAAATATACTTTTACTCTTTCTTCTTTAAAAAAAATGGTTATGAAAAAGTGTGAGGTCGCCGGCAGACCTTTGAAAATAAAAGGAGTCTGCCGGTTTTAGTTAATCTGGAACCACTGCAACAGAGAATAACAGTACCTAGAACATAAGGAATTAGAGAAAAGATAATTAATTACAACAGGCTGACACATTTTACAGTGAAATGTGCAACCTGATACTGAGAGTATAGGATGCAATTATGCCATCAGAATCATCATCATCATCATTATCAGTTGCCAAACTGGTAAGCACATTGATCACGGTTTGTCTTTTCACATGGTCACCAGATTCACAGATCAGGCCTGAGCTTTTATCATAAAATTGCCATTTGATGAAGCTTTCTAAGTATTTTTGTGCTTGTTCCATATAACAAGCAGGTCATAAAAAGTTTGCTTAAACTGGATGTTTTAGGCTAAAAGGCACAGATATCTCAGCCTAACTAAAATACAGCACAACTTGCAAGTCACCCTTTTTAGGATGAAAGCAGAAGATCTCTTTGTCTTCTTCAGGCTATTTTGCAATGATTAGAATTGAACAATCTTTGACGTTAACCCTTTTAATAAAGTATATGATGTAAAGGAGTTACAGTGGCTAGCACTCTTTCTGGTTTATCTTATGATGGCCGTGTGTTTAAATCCTTCTTGAGGTCAGAATTTTTCCATACAGTTAGGCTTCCAAATAGATTCAGTCTGAAGAAGGTACTAAATCTTCTGAAAAGCGGGGGAGGGGGGGGGGGGGGGGGGGGGGGTACTAACTACATCCTCCATTAGTTGTTGATTGGTCTAAAAATAAATCTGAGTTTCCCAGAATGTGCCCCATTTTTTTAATTTTTTTAAAAATAGATGAAACCTATTCTCGCTTAAATATTTCAAAACAGATGACTAATTAAGTGTTTGCTGAAATCAGATGTTTTGGATCAAAAGGTGCCTATATTGCAGCCAGGTTGTAAACCAACACAGTCTGCTAACTGCCCTTTTAAGAACGAATACATTAGAAAATAAGAAAGATGGAGCTTTCACCAGATGCGTTAACCTTTCTTGCCACACGAAAGCTACTTTTACGGGTTTTGGTTGGCAGTATGCTTGATGGCATTCTTTGTACTGGCTGACACTATATAGTGTGTAGACCTGGTGGGTATGTTAAATTGAACACTCCACCCCCTCCCCTACAAATGTCAATATTATTTTGGGTGACATAAGTGATTCGCTGTAACATCAAATGGTTCATTATTACATCAGATAGCTATCTGTGGCAAAGTGACCAAAACCATTTCTAATTGGTTAAAGGAAATCACTTTAATTTTCTGTTTTTTTTTTTTTTTTGTGTGCATTCAGTGAGGAATTTTCTTAATACAGAAATAAATTCTTTCTTTATACATTTAATGAGTGGGAAAAATAAAAAAAAAATTATTTTTATTTTGGTGATGTAACATAACATCAAAGAGGCAGAGGGCTTCCCACCTGCCGGACTGCTCGGTGGTCTAGGGTGCAACCCCCTGAATATTTATAAAAAGTGGCCAATCCAATCCAAATCTCTTATGCTCCTTCTAGTTTCTCAGGGTAGAGTTTTGGAGAGCTGGCGAAAAGGTTAGTTTTTCACCCATATGCCTAGTTTGCTTTATGGCTTGAAATGAGTTCCTTTACTCATATAATGCATGAATTAATTTGGTATAGAAAGAATTAAGTAAGCTCTTAGTGATTGTTAACATGTAATACTTTTATAACAAAATGTTATGCTAATATTTTTTTTTAATAAATAATTATTACTGACAAATGAATTTCCCTCTCAGGCCTTTTAAAGTAAAGAATCTGTTAAAATTTAAATTCCCAATATACCTGTAACTATTATTGTGTACAAAGTGAATCAGAAAGATTAGTACTTGCTTAAAATAATACTGTATGTTGCCCTATATTATAGAGGAAAATGTTCGATGGTATATCTTCTTCTTTGGTGATCTCTGTGTATCCACTTTAAGTCAATAACTGGGATGTCAGCTCAAGGTTTCTTATGTTATTTGTCAGATCTACTGACTGTGGCCACATGTTGCTTCACAACTCCTACAAGAGAGGACAGTCTTGCAGAATTTTCTGGGATCTGCTATGCTTGAAGACATTGACAGAGAGCTGTTTGGCTCATACTTAATTTACATGAGTGTTTGTTGAGTCTGCAATGCCCGGTGCATAAGCGAAAGATGGTGACTTAGTCTGTTCAGGTGGTATATAAAATTTGCAAATTTATTTGTTTATTTTAGGTAAGAGTGGCGTGCCCGAGCTTGCACAATTAACCAAGATGGCACTGAACATGCAGCAGCAAATTACAGTTGCAGCATGGGCAATTGCATACAAGAATGATCGTGAGGCTGTGAGACTGGCAAAACGTGACTTTAACATAACATTGCTGCCATCGACTGTTGGAAAGTGGAGACAACGACTGCTGACAACGGGAAGCATTCTGAAAGGAAAACCTCCTGGACGGCCTCGCAAAAGCACTGATGCAGCAACAACAGAAAAGATTTTGGAAGCATTCAGCAATAACCCACAGAAATCGACCCGCCAGCGTGCACAGGAGCTCGGTATCAGTCAGTCCAGTGTGTCTCGTGCTTTGAGACGTGTGAAGTGCCGAACCCTCAGACCGTTTCATGTTCACAAACTGAAAGAGGATAACCCTGCATCTTCTTCTTCGATCTTTCTGTCAGAAAACATTCTATCAGGAAGCCAGTAGCCTTGATGAAAGTTATTGTGCAGTATAAATCTTCTTGTGTGCCATACAGCTTTGCTTTGATTGAAGTAGGCACAGGCCAATGGTCTCTCTGTTAGCAACACACTGTCAGACTGTTGGAGTACATGCTGAACATTTTTAGGCTGCAGGGAGACCACTCTGTGTTTTTGATACCAGAAAATGTATTTTGTTGGGCCCTTAGTTGGAGAATGATACACTGGCCCTCTCTTGAGGTGATAAAGCGAGTCTTGTGCTGCAGATTTGTCGTGGTTATCCATATCGCCATATTTCTGACTTGTGTGTTTTAGTTTAATGACGATCTATCTGCGTATGTTGTAACAAGCATACCAGGCCATTTGTGCAATTGTTTTATTTCTGTATCAGAAGATGTCAACTTCAGTGAGATTGTTAAAGTGCTACTGTGTTGTTACTTGCATGCAAGACATGGACAATAAGCAGACAGCTGAAAAACATTTACTTTCACTGAGATATGGTTTATGACGAGAATGTTGTATGATACAAACACAATCAAGGCAGTCTTCCTTGAAACGGATGAAAGTCCTAAACTGGTTAGAAAAAAAAAAGACAGGCAGTTGGTGCTTTTTTTGTTTTCTTTTGTGTGTAGGAATAACATTGGTGAACATCGTGACATATGGAAAAATCAGTGGAAAAGGGGGTAGAGGCAGACCAAGAGAGATGAGGCTGGATGAGCTGAAACAATGGCATGGAGGGATATCATCAGGAGAGCTGTTCCAGGCAACCAGAGATGGGGATCTATGGAGACGCATAAGCGCCTACACCAGTTGGCAGGGCACATGATGATGAAGGAATAGATTCACTAACGTGGTAACAACTGACCAGTTTGGTAGAAAGATAGCAAAAATAGTGTTTCTCGTGAACTGAAAATCTTCTGTCATGTTAGATGCCCTAATGGTTTAGAGAGAACATTAGTGAGGGTATGGAATAGGCTGGGGTGACCAGGTGGGTGCAGGTTAGTAAGGACATCCTGAGCCTCAACTCTTTCAGTCTCACAAGGTTCTAACTAATGTCCGAGGGAGTTACAAAAGGCAATGCCAAACTCATGGGTATACTACTTTCACAGGGGTCAAATATGCAACCCTTGCAGGGGACCCTAATAGATGTATAACCTAAAGGACTTGTGCCCAGGTATCTTCATCAGAATGGTGGCACTTTGTGTCACCAGATGTTGGTTGCTTATTGTACAGTCCTGGTGGGGTTGAACAACACACACGTTTTCAGAGTCCCTCACTAAACATAAGGTGTAAAAACATACATAACCTGTTGGTTAGTACAAGGAATGATACCCCGTCATGTATAGTGTACTGTTTCGTGACTGGGTCACTTTTCCAGCATGTCATGATTAGAGCGACGTTTTGAAAAGAACTGCTGCTTGATGATATTGATGAATAAATAAATAAATGTTTTTAAGAAAACAACCCATACCCCCCCCCCCCCTCTCCCCCCCCCCTCTCTCCCCCCCCCCCCCCCCCCATCTTTCCCAAATGTGACTTGAGTAGCATCAAGCCTAAGATTTCTCACATCTGGTTTTAGTACTACCAGACAAACAGAGCCAAAAGTGGGTAAATATGTATATATTTTAACATAACTTGTGTGTTCTGAAAACATATGGACATGAAATATTATTTTTTATATTTACCACATGATACTGAGAACTCGAGTTTGTCCGTAGAGTTCACCGCTGTCACTAAGAATAAATAGACCTGTGTTATTTAAACAGTTTCACTGATGTTGCTTTTGTCTAGAGTGAAGAGATCTATATGGTCTAAACACTTAGTTCCAGTGTTATAGGTGCTGAAGGGGTTGTTTAGGCTTCTAACATATTCCTACAACACAGTTCTGAGAATGGGGTGGCTGCTAATATATTTATTATTATATCACTACAACTCATTGATTGAACTTTGGGAAAGGAAAGGATATACTACTGAAAATATACATGTTTATGCAAAAACAAAAATATTTTAATGCCCAGAATCATTGATTCTTAACCTGTTGCCATGAAAAAGCTGGTTTTCCAGCGTTCACAGGTTTTTCGTGACCCAAAGTCTTTGGTAGGAGCCACTTATGCCTATATAAAAGCTTTGGTACTGGCTGTAACTGCATAGAGACATGGGTATGACTATGTATAAACCCAGGAACAGTTTGATATATTAAGGATGAAAAATATAATCTCATAATTATGTCACTTTGCTCCTGTGCTCGAGTTAACAAAACCCCTTTTTTAAATGTCAAAGGGAAGGAACATAGTTAATTGTTTATTCCCAATTTATATTTAGAGTTGAATACCCTATAAAAATGAATTTTTTATTTATTAGAGGCTGTGATGTAGCTATGGACCTCACCCTTGCCTGTCTGCTTGGTGACCTAGGGGTTTTAACCCCTTGCTATTCATAAAATTTGCTCCAGACTCCAAATTTCTTCTTCTTCTCTTCCTCTAGTATCTTAAGGTAGATTTTCAGAGAATGATAACAGTGTGCATTTATTTTACCAAATTTTGAAAAGGTCTTTTTTTTTTAAGATACTGAAGAGATGAAAGGGTTAATTTTCTGCGTGACAAAGTAAACATAAGTAACTAATGATTCTCTTCTAAAAATAAACATAAGGTATAGTCAAGGGAATAACTCGTATTAACTTCCCAATAATAAGTTAATAGGCAGTTGCAAGTTGGAGTTATGATGAAGTGAAATAAAATAATTCAATACCAGTTGCTGAAGTGAATAACATGTCTTGATTATAACCATGGATGCTGAGGTTCTTAAACTGGTCCATAATTACTACATCTGTTTTTATTTCAGCAACACATTTGTGATATCAGAGTAATGTTTCATTGTAAATTTGAACAAAGAAGACTCAAACAACAGATTGCACAATTTATTCATCATCATTATCATTCTGTTGTGCCGTTGTTTATCACATAGGGCTTGCAGTCTAGTCCTCCATTCTTTTATATCCTGCACTGTCCTCTCAGTATCATGGATGGAATCAGTCCAGCACCTTTAGTCTCTCTCAACAACATTCATCTTAAGGTTTCTCTTGCACTTCCTTGTTTCTTCAATCCATTTATTTCCCAAATCAGTGCCTCTTTGGTGATTTGGCATCCATTTCTAGTGCTTACTACTGTATTACTACAGTAAGCTATAAACTCTGAGTTCCAGAGGGTTTAGCATCAAATGCCCAAGGGGTAGTCAAGAGAGATGTAAAATTGGCGCATCATGCGTTCATTGGGCCTCTAGGTAGGAATCGTATGAACGTTCCTTGGAACTCAAAGAGTTAAATTAGATGTAGCAAAATTAATTAATCCTTTCAAATTAAATACAGTCCTCCACCACAGTCAATGTAACTGTCTGTTTTACCACAGTCAATGTAACTGTCTGTCTTACCACAGTCAATGTAACTGTCTGTTTTACCACAGTCAATGTAACTGTCTGTTTTACCACAGTCAATGTAACTGTCTGTTTTACCACAGTCAATGTAACTGTTTTACCACAGTCAATGTAACTGTCTGTTTTACCACAGTCAATGTAACTGTCTGTTTTACCACAGTCAATGTAACTGTCTGTTTTACCACAGTCAATGTAACTCTGTCTTACCACAGTCAATGTAACTGTCTGTTTTACCACAGTCAATGTAACTGTCTGTCTTACCACAGTCAATGTAACTGTCTGTTTTACCACAGTCAATGTAACTGTCTGTTTTACCACAGTCAATGTAACTGTCTGTTTTACCACAGTAAATGCAAGATCACAGCTATGTTAACTGTAATATGTATGTGATGAGATGCATCGAAATGTGCCAGCCAGTAAATTGTTCAGTCATGTTTGTATTTTCATTGTTCACATCTGTGATAGATAGCAATTACTATTTCTAGAAGATAAATTTGCCAGTTTTTCCCCATGAGTATAAACAGTTCCGCAGGCGATGAAGAAAATAGAGAAACATCTGTGTTATTAGCAGGCCTAACAGTGCAATTAAGCATATAGCCACCACAGCAGTTTTAACACGTTTGGAGTAGTCTAGAACCCCGTAAATAAAATACTCTCCTTTATGATTTGTGCCTCCGGCTGCCCAGTAGATAAGGGTGAACGTAATGTAGATTGCAAGGTATATGAAAGGTATGTGTAGGTGCTGGATTCTGATTGGTGCCCGGCTGATCATGATGTCTCCAATCACAAGCAAGGAATTGATCACATGAGAATTAATGCTGGCGTAATTTTGAGTATCACCTGGAAAAATAATATAATTAGGAGAAAAAATTACGTAGGAAGAAAATATATATATATGTCAATCTTTGCAGTTAAGGCAATAAACGAGTTTTAAGAGCTAGATGTTGCTAATCCTGATGTATAGAAATTAAACATGGAAAGTCAGCAGATAAGTGAGAAATTATATGCAAGCCGAAGAAATGAAGCTTTTTTAGAAGAATAATGAGATCACTGATGACAGATAAAAAGCGTAATGACAGTGTCTTTTGACAGAAATTAACTGACTTGAAAACTGATTTTGACCCAAAACTCACTACTGTATGCATTTACCTCTTTACAAGACAATGTAGTGTAGACAGTAGGGTCGTGAGCCTGAGGATTCGGGACTGCATGGCTAGGCTAATGCAGTGCTGTTTGCCATGGACTGTGCAGCTTTGGATCCCCCTTCCCATGCAATAAACAGTGTGGCTATGTCTAACAGTTTTTTTTTTTTTTTTTAAATCAGCCAATAGAAGGTTAATTCTGGAATAGCCCTTGTATGTCCAAGTGGCAAGGCGTGAGCAGTTCAGAATTTGTAAGCGTTTTCTGGTAGTGATTACCCTGGAGAGGGTATCACGTGATAATTTCCTCATCGCTTCGCTGTTGAGAATATGCGTGTGCAGCAAGCATTGTAGTACTAGTAACTGGTAGCTGTTACAGTTTGTGCATGAGTGGTGTAAGCATGCAGCAAGTGTTCTTTTCACTGTTTTCAAGACATAAACCGAGAGGAAATTTTGTAATAAACAGTATAAAAGAGTATTTTTTGTGTGGGAGCAATGGGAAATGTAAGCAGAGACTACAACCATTACATGCATGCCTCGGCACTTATATATCTCTGTGGTCAGGCTGTTTGCCTCGCGCTCAGGGTGTGGGTACGTTTCACAGTTCACAAGTGCAATTTTTACAGAGATCATCAGAGGGGTCATCGCTGAAGCTATGGAGTTTGTGCTCCGCGCTGCGCTCTTGGCAGGTGGTTAGCCGCTCTGCGGAGAGAGACTGAGCCATATGGAATAAAACCTTGTGTAATGAATTTGATCCTCTCGAATTTAACTCATAGATAGACAGACAGATAGATAGATAGATTTAGATATAGATGGATGAAAAGAAAGAGTTTATTTTATCGTGTTGTGATGAACAGTTCAACGTTATGCTAACATAATAATTATGTGGCCACTCTTAGACTTTAAGTGAAGATCTACACTCTACCAAAAGACTATTTTGTTCACGTTTCAGTTCAGATTTTTTATTATAAGGTAATGTAAACTCTTTGGTAATGAACCTGATATGGCGCAGCTAAAAATGTTGGATAATAAATTGTGCAATATGCTGTTTATGTTTCTGTCTTTTAATTCTTTCAGCCTCAAGCAGGTATTACATTAACCCTTTCAATCCTAATTAAGTTGAGTTTTGCAGCAATTTAGGTCTCAACTGTGTTTACCAGAGACACTGTGGAACAGATTTTGTTGAACTAAGAATTAAGATAACTGTTAGTCTTCTTCTTCTTCTTTTTTTTTTTTGCTTATTCTTATTCTTCTTTGCATTCACTGGCTGTAGACTCCGGCAAAAAGTTCTGGTTATTTGTTCACTTCTGGACTTTGGTCCTGTTCCAGAAACTGAGTGTTGCGTGCACATCCGTTTGACATGTCTGACTCATTTTTTGCAGACTGTTGGTTAATTGCCTCTCAGGCAGATGTACTCTGACTTTGAAGGAAGCTTCTGATCAGTCGACTTTTACCACATGCTTTTGGGCAGGCAGAGGGTCTATTTTTGTTCTTTCCCCCCCCCCCCCACACACACCAGGATATATACTTTAGTATAATCTCTATGTTTGATACTTCTTCTTCAAGTTTACCGGCTGTAAACTCCGGCGGAAGGTTCTGGTTGTTCATTCACTTCTGGATTTCAGTCTTTGTGATAAAGTTATTTGCACTATTGATGATTGCCACAGCTCTACTTGTGAGATTGTTGTATTTACCTGGGTCTTGCACTCATTCTACCGTCTAGGGATTATAACACACAAACGACGCTCGGTTTCCATTGTGCCAGCTATCAGTTTATTCCTTCACATTCAACGATACATGCTGACGATTGTTCACGCATCCATATCTTCCAACCGACTATTAACACTAGTCATCCACACAACATTGGAACTATTTCCTCTAATAAAACTAGCACATCTTCTAATAAGACAACTGACTTTCTTAAATTCTCTGATGCGACTGACCACGAGTCTAGCTCGGGCCTGCCCATGTCTGCACAACTGGCCCCAATTATCCCGTGCGGTCACTTGGTGCCCGGGTTTCCTGCCTGGCTCGCTATATGCGTGGGGGTCATGCGAAGCACCTCGTCACAGTCTTGTTCCAGGACTTTAGTTTTGCTTGCAGGTCTGGTTTTTGTAAAGAAACTTTTGTTTCCTCGCCTCTCAGGTAGGTACACTTCCCCCACCGCCTTCCAAATAGGACCCCAGAATCCACACGGGGAGTATGGTTGGTACCCAAAAAAAGTTAATATCGTACAACATCTGTCAATCAGGTGTCGTTCCCATAAATAGGTCTGTTTACAGTGGATCACTAACACGCTGTCTTTCACCACATCTCTCTCAGACTGCACGTTGTCTCACTCGTGTTGTTATCTTCCCACTTGTAACGCTGTCCTTTTCATCCTCAGTTACATTTCTACTCTTCTGTTCAGTATGATTTTTATAGGGAAAACGTCCGGCTTCTTAAGACCTGAACACACGACCTTTGGATCCGCAGGCGAGCATCTAGTCACTACACCTCGGCGGCTTCTGTATAATAATATAGCTGACATAATATGACATGTATAAACAAATTCTTAAAACAAGAACTTCTGTAGATGGTTCGAGAGATCGCATAGTCCCCTTACAAATTTTCGGAACTTCAATTGTAATTCACCCCAAACAAAGATAATCTGGGAATTCCCGAGAGTGTCTAATATTTTATGGGTGTGATGGAAGCTATAATCTGGTGGGACAGGAACAAGAGAACGCCTGCATGCCGAGGTACGGAAAAAAACTGATTTGTGTCAACCCTGACCGCCTCAGAGACACCAGCTAACCCTAATCCCAACCCATAACACCCCTATAGAACTGGGCTATTCCGGCCACTCCGATTTCTCCTCCCCCCCCCCCTCCCCCAAACTCATTTGCTGTTTTGTATGGGGAGAGCGCTCAAGGAGCCTAAGCCTACACGTTTCGGTGTCGCTGTCTGAAAATAGCGCATAGTTTAACAAATACGTACACAATACAAACCTGTATAAACGAGCGCCCAAAATAAGACTGTCACTAGAATGGATGCCGAGTTGGAAATGTTCTGAAGGAACCACTGACACCTCAGCATTGCAGAAAGGCCGTCTGGCTGATCTTGCCCGTGCTCGTCGCTACATACTGTTACATGTGTTTCGACTTTGTCGTCTTTGTTATCGCTGATTTGTCGTTCTTCGCAAGATATATTCGTTTCGGCCATACCACAGTTTGGCATAACCAGCTCACTGTCGTTACCCAGATGGTTGCCGTTTGTGTTGTTTGCCCTGCCTGGTAAGTGGCAAGGTATCATTGCACTGTAAAGTGTCTTGTCGTTCAGAACAAACTGCCAACAGTTCCAGGCTGTGATTATAAATCGCAAGGTTACACTGTAGAATGCCCAGTACGTCAACCATATGAGGATCTTTATGCCGTATCCGCTGGCAAACGAAGTGTATATGACCAGTGCCACTGTGTAAACAGAGCAAAGTGTTGACCAAACAGTGTAGACCAAAGGGTTGTCGCACCACTGGAGAGTACACAAAAATCACAGTTTTTTTTTTTTTAATTCACCAAGGGCACCAGACATATCTGTCTTGTATTTTAAATACACATTTTATGTGTTTAAATACAATAGGGAGTCGCCGTGGTGTAGTGGATCAAAAGGTCGTTTTTTCATATCCTGGCGGAGCCGGTTTATTTTTTATTTTTTTTCTTTCCAGAATTGACCTTGGCTCCACTGGTCAACCTACTTTGTGGTTAGTACCAGTGCCGTTTAATTCTTATTATTAAAAAAAAACGTAGAAAACTATTATCATGTTATTGCTCACTTAAACAATGCTTAAGTATGCTCAGCTCCGCCTCCTGAAAAATAATATAATTATTTTTTTTTCTGCATGCTTAACAAGGTTTTAGACTCTTGAGTCTCGCACGTAGAAAATTACAAAAGTTCTGAGTTGTGTCTCACCCCCCCCCCCCCCCTTCCTTTTTTTGGGTGCCGGTTTTTTTTTCTTTTTTTTTTCGATTTTTTGTCCGTCGGCGCCTCTTTAATATTGAAGTAATAAAATATATCAAGTCGACAAAACTGTGACAGATCTAACAAGCCAGCGATTAATTAAGCATTCCTACAGAAGATGCATTGACAAACAAACTAAATGATGAAAGCCGTATTCGGTAATATCAGTGTTTAAATACTGAGCGGGCGTGCGAGCGCACATACACACACATGCGCAGGCACGTGCGCACACACACACACACACACACACACACACACCAGTAAATGGGTTTTCCTGCTCACTTAGACAGAAAGTCTCGTGATACCATATGATAACATATACAAGGTATCTGCCAAAACAGATGAAGGTTGTAGAGCCTGCACGCTACAGCCGTATCGAGAGCATAGTGATAACCAGGACCGTGCGCCTCCTTCGACACTCTAATCAGTGGCTCTCAACCTTCCTAATGCCGGGACCCTTTAATACAGTTCCCTCATGTTGTGGCGACCCTTTATTACAGATCCGTCATGTTGTGGCGACCCTTTAATACAGTTCCCTCATGTTGTGGCGACCAGAAACCATTTATTTTCCTTCATAACTTCAATGAGTAAGTGTTTTCCGGTGGTCTTAGGTGACCAATGTGAAAGGGTCGTCCGACCCACACAAAAAGTTCGCGACCCGCAGATTGAGAACCGGTGCTCTAAATGGTAAAAGAGTTTTCCCCAATATGAAACAAATTTTTTTTAACAAATTATTTTAAAGCCCCACTCCGGCTGTTGTTGGGGTCCCTAATATAATATGACGATTAAACGGGGTTTCTGGCACTTCATCCGAATTCATCCGAATGGTGGCACTTTGTGTCACCAGTTGTTATCCCTCCTCGTGGAGTTAAAAGTTACTCACTCTTGCTGTCAATTATCAAACCCTCTTCATTGCCTGTGTTTACCACTTTTGCCGTATAGGCAAGGGGGTCTTTGGGCCTGGGGATTTGGAGTCACATGACCAATGCAGTCGCCATGTACTGTGCAGTTAGGATTTTATTTTGCTTCGACAGAAAAAGAAATGCCATAACCTTACTCGGGATTCGAATTTAAGTCCCACATAGACTGTCATTTTTTTTAAATTTCGGCCAGCCCAGAACAAAAGCACCGCAGTGCTGCTGTTTTCAAATGCTATATTACGGTAAACATAACATAACATAACCCTTGACCCGTTAGGGTCGTAGAGGTGTATCGATAGAAGCACTAGGACACAAAACCCTCCGTCTTTCTCTATCTTCTGCTTGATGAATAAGTGTGAAATAACTTAATCCTGTCTAATTCTTGATGTTGTCGTTTCAGATTGTCGCCAACTATAAAGTACGGTCTTTGCAATCCAATCATGTCTCACCACGTGCCGGAACCAAGCTAGCTTGCGAAGTTTCACCACTGCCAATCACCAATCATGTCTCATCACGTGCCGGAAACAATCTAGCTTGCGACGTTTCACCACTGTCAATCATATCTCACCACGTACCGGAACCAAGCAAGCTTGTGACGTTTCACCACTGCCAAGAGAGTTAGTTATAAAAGTAGACCATTGGTCGCCTGTATTTGATGTTCTGTCCTGTAAACGTGTAATTTAAACTGACTGACTGACAGACCAACCGACTGACGTTCTACCCCACCTGGACATCACACAGACGAACAACGGGTAACCCAAAGTGCCACTATTCGGATGAGGAACACCCATGGAGAGGTCACAGAAACCCCGTTCGACCCATGGGTTGGGTTATATGAGGGCCACAGCCAGGGTGAGGCCGCAAAATCACCCCCAAAATAAATGCGTCCCACATGGGGACGGAGAATCGATCCTGGAACCCTGTGAACGCTGACTGGGTCACATACCTGCTAACTCTACTCTGATGTGTTTAGCAACATCACTCTGTGAAGCCTCCTTCTATACATTCCTACGGCATGGACAACTTCTTATTAACTTAAACCACGTCTGCCACCTTTTCTAGAAAAGCTTTAAGAAACTAGTACTGCTGCTTATGTGCGTTTTTATCATAGTATGGGGCGTCGCAGGTTGAGCAAGCCAAAATGGGTACCAGCATGTATGTTCTGGGGAAGTAAAGACGGCCGGCGTTATGTTTACCAAGCTACCCACCTAGTGCCGATTTGTCTGTAAAAATATGGGTGCTCTTTCCGTATGTCCGATGCCCCTAAGGCGTGAAAAGGGATGTTTAAATTTTTTTTTTTTACTTACTGCTGCTTACCTTCGCCTGAACTGATCATACATAATTGGTTAAATAATGATCTATCTAAGAAAACTGAGTGTACTATGTCGGTGATTTATTGACAATGTCAAAATCTTCATTTCCACATGGAAGTTTGAATCATGCCTTAGGGATATATGTTTAGAAGCTCTCAAACTTTAATTTCAGCGAAAAGTTAGTTTGAATAATATGTGTGTGTGTGCGCGCGGGCGCCTATGTGCGTGTCTTTGGGTATAATTGTGTAGCCTGTTGATAATACAATATTAAACTGTGTTTCACTCTGGGTGGAACCCAGTATTTCGTTCATAACTCAAACACCAATAAACATGTGGCAACGCAATTTGGAGTGGACTTACGTGTGTTTATGCGAAGTCGGTTGACATAACAATTGCTCGAAACGGCCACCATTAGCGTCCAAACAGCGTTGGACACAGCGTTGTATGTTGTGGAAAGTCTGTCTCAGTACGTCAGGTGTTTGGATGGTCGCACTGATGTTTTGCAGCCTGGACGCCAATGATGGATATTTCCAGCATTTGTTTTGATGTCAACCGACTTCACATGAACAAAGGTAAGCCCACTCCAAATTCGTTGTCACGTCTTTATTAGTGTCCGAGTTATGAACAAAATACTGGTTTCCGTGAAATACCAGATATTAGCTATATAATTTTAAATGTTTTTTAAAATGCGTCTCGATGAGGATTTGAACCTAAGACCTTCATTCGAGGTCAAATAGGAAGCATAACTATTTTTTTTTATAGGAACATTCATTAGATTTACCTTTAGATGGCTGCTACAGAGAAGGACTGGGTACTGCACAGTGTACCGTGGCGTCGATCGTGATAAAGTAAATTACCTTTAAAATGCAATCATTAACAACTTTGAAAACAGAACATCCAAAGGACACCCGTGGATTAGAAAGAACGATTCCTTCGTAATATCCTTAAAACACCCAGGGCGAAACATTGCAGCAGCTCTGATATGTAGGTTTGTGTAGAAGTTATGTTTAAATAAAGCTAATGATCTGTTCAAGTTCCTCTAGTAAAAGTACATTTCTTTAAAATGCAATAATTAACTCACCTTTGACAACAAATATTTAAAGGACACCTGTGGATTAGAAAGAACGATTCCTTCGTAAAGTTCCTTAAAATACCCGGAGCAGCACTGATATGTAGGTTTCTATAGAAGTTATGTTTAATTAGGCTAAGATCTGTTTAATTTCCTCTAGTAAACTTAAATTAACTTTAAAATGCAGTAATGAACTTACCTTTGACAATAAAAAATCTAAAGGACACCCGTGGATTAAAAAGAACGATTCCTTCGTAATATCCCTAAGACACCTGAGGCGAGACATTGTAGCAGCTCTGGTATGTAGGTTTGTGTAGAAGTTATGTTTAATTAAGCTACTGATCTGTTTTAAGTTCCTCAAGTTCTCATTGTCTTTAGCAGCAGTTCATGCCGGATGTCCGCAGCTGGCCAGTATATGCACGGGACGAAACTGCAGTACAAGTATTTGCGTCAACAGGGCCGTGTATTGTTTCATTGTGTTATTATTTTTCACAAATACACTGCCTGCTATAAAAGTCATCGGTTGTGTTTGTTCTGAAACCCAGTCCTTAAGTGATGGTGTTGTTTTACATGTGCCAACCAGCAGCTCTAAAGTTGTAGATAATGGGCGAAGGGTTCGGCTGTTCCGGTCCATGTGACCTATCCAAGTGCGTTAAGTGGATTTGATTGAAGCTGCTGGAGAAAGTTCACGTCTGTTGGACGTTGTCATACACCATTAGCTAGCTAGCAGGAAGAAACGCGCAGGCGCATACATGTTTTCACATTTTGTTGTTTACATGTTGCAGTACACAAACACACAAAAGAGTAGTATGTAGTTTTTCGTCATAGATGGTCGTCTGGCCATGTCCCGAAAAGACCTGCAATGTTAGGACGATTATAATGACGAATAGGGCCGTTTTTAGTCTATGTGCAGTTGTACAGGACGGTATATATATACAGGCGTTGTTGAGAGAGCTGATAGACTGGCAGGTGCTGCATTAATTGAAGATGGCCGGCCCATGTCATTGCCCTTAGATAGCTAGGACGTTCTGAGGATTTTTGAAGCAACGTGTCCACATCACTGCTAAGAATACGTGAATTAGGAGTAAAGATCGGCAAAGCCAAGCATGAGAAGCACACCGGACGTACACGAAGTCTTGTTAACCAATATAAGACTGGTACTATTAACTAGATATGAAGATCAATACTGAAAAGACAGAAGTCATGAGCATAAGTAGAGAGCAACAGACCATCGACATAAAGATTCTAGATCACAGCCTAAAACAAGTGCAAGAATTTAAATACTTGGGAAGTATCTTTACATCCAATGGTAAAATAGACAGAGAGATCGAAGCAAGAATCCAACAAGCCAACAATGTCGCATACCAGCTTGCCCCAATTTTAAAACACCCTGCTGTCCCAGCTGAGATAAAAAGACAAATTATAAATACAATCTTTATACCGACATTAGGTTATCAATGTCAGACTTGGACATTAACAAAAGAACACGAGAGAAGACTAACCACCTGTGAAATGAGATGTTTGAGAATGGCTGCGAATAAAACCAGAAGAGATAGAGTGAGAAACGATGTGATTACAAGAACTATTGGAACCATACCCATCGTTAAATTTATTGAGAAGCAAAGAATGAAATGGTTTGGTCACCTAATGGGAATGGAACCAACGATGCCAGCATCAAGAGCATACAACATGAAAATCGAAACACCAAGAGGCAGGGGAAGACCAAGAAGAAGATGGATTGAAGGAATCACTGACAACTTGAGACTTCATAACATCACGGCATATGAAGCGACTGAGCGCGCCCTGGCTCGGTTGCCGATCATCTGATAGACTGCGACGCCTAGCGGCACAAGCAGATTTTGACAAAAGAAGAAGACTATTAACTAGGGCTGAACCGAATAGTGATTTTCACTATTCGGCCGAATACGAATAGCTGGACCAACTATTCGGCCGAATACGAATACGAATAGTGAATCATCATCATCAGGTGCTTTGCCGACTAGTATGGGCGATTATGCCTCGCCACAATCTGCTATCTCCTGCAGCAGGTATTAGTTTGTGTACTGACACACCTCCATGCCATGCAAGAAGACTCAAGCATCTTCTCTCGTTGTCTTCCTCTATCCCTCCTTCCACATATCTTTCCAGTGGTCACCACATGTTCCATTTTCCCTCATCTTATAAAATGATGACTGTCTTCTTCTGATGTCTGTGAGGAGTTGTCTTCGGGCTCCCACCTCTATCAAAACTTCTTAGTTGCTTTTTTTTTTTTTTTTTCTGTCCAGGGTATTTTAAGAATTTTTCTGTGATATACCACATTTATGAGCACCGCTCGCCTCGGTTCGATGTACGTTCACCAGTCTTCTTGTAGTGAGCACTGCCCGACCCAGTTCATTGCTGGTTTACCAGACATCTTGTAGTAAGCACCGCTCACCCCAGTTCGATGTTCGTTCACTAGTCTTCTTGTAGTGAGCACCGCTCTCCCCAATTCTTTGTTCGTTCACCAGTCTTCTTGTAGTGAGCACCGCTCGCCCCAGGTCGATGTTCGTTCACCAGTCTTCTTGATTTAAGCACCGCTCGCCCCAGTTTGATGTTTGTTCACCAGTCTTCAAGTAGTAAGCACTGTTCGCTCCAGTGTATTGCTGGTTCCCTAGTCTTCTTTTAGTAAACACTGCTGGCCCCAGTTCGATGTAGGTTCACCAGTTTTCTTGTAGTGAGCACTGCTCGTCCGAGTTCATTGGCGGTTCACAAGTCTTTTTGTAGTGAGCACTGCTCGCCCCAGTTCACTGCCGGTAAACCAGTCTTCTCCTATTGAGCACTAAACGCCCCAGTTCGATGTTGGTTTTCCAATCTTCTTGTAGTGAGCACTTAACGCCCCAGTTCGATGTTCGTTCACCCGTCTTCTTGTAGTGTGCACCGCTCGCCCCAGTTCGATGTTAGTTCATCTGTCTTATTTTAGTGAGCACAGCTCGCCCCAGTTCGATGTTCGTTCACTAGTCTTCTTGTAGTGGGCACCGCTTGCCCCAGTTCGATGTTCGTTCACTAGTCTTCTCGTAGTGAGCACCGCACACCCTAGTTCGATGTTCGTTCACTATGCAGGATATTTTAAGCATTGTTTTGTAATACCACATCTCTGAGGTTTCAAGAAATTGTTTCGCCTGCCTACCGATTGTCCAGGACTTACAGCCATATGTTAACACTGGATGTATGTAGCAAGCAAGAATTCTTTTTCTAACCTTCAATGACAAAGATATATTGCATAAGATGTTCTTCATTTTATAAAATGCAGTTTTTGCCTGTCCTGTTCTGTTTCTTATTTTAGTAATGCATCTTCCATCTGGTGTTATCCATGTGCCCAGATAGGCTACTTAAATTTCCGTACTTGTCCCAAAATAAAACCATTGACTTTTATTACACATTTAGGAGTAATTATTTTCTTTGATACCACCATTACTTCTGTCTTCCCACTATTCAAACTGAGGCCCATTCTTCCACTGTCGTGTATACAATAGATCTAAAAAGAAAACATCCATAATGTCGAATTTACACTGACATTTTACTTCACAACATGTAGTACAGAATAGTAAACATTTAAATACATTTCACGTTTTGCATTCTTCAGTCAGTCAGTCTGTGGTAACTAATACATAAAAGTGAAAGTATTCTTAGTTTAATAACAAGTAACTAAACTTGTAAATTGTCACTGACAGCTTAATTAAACCATGAAAGCGGCATTAGCTTTCCACACCAAAACAATCGTTCCATCTTGTCATCATTAAGGCAGCTTCTTGCCTCACTGAAGGTACTTCCAGATTTACTAAACAGACGTTCACTTGGTACGCTCGTAGGTGGTGCACAGAGATAACGCTGGACAGTATGAACCAAGGTGGGAAATCTTGATTTATTTAATTTCTACCAGTCCAGGAACGGGTGTAAGGTAGCCACTATTCGGCCGAATACCGAATAGTTATTAGGTCCACTATTCGGCACCGAAGCGAATACGAAGCGAATATTCGGTACAGCCCTACTATTAACCGCACGACGCTGATAAATATGTTGAGAGGGGAATCTGAGCGCCTATGGATGTGTCTGGAGTGCTTTTAAGATAATCTAACTCATAACTCAAGGCGGCAAAATTCTAAGAGCCTGAATATATAACGAGTAGTTGTAAACATACCTGTATCTTTACTGTTTGCAACATTTGAAAGTGTTGCATTGTATTACGCGTCATTGATTCATCATGGTCACAAAATAGAACATGTTGTGACCACTGGAAAGAGCTGTGGAAAAAGGGATAGAGGATGACAACGAGAGAAGACGCTTGACAGTCTTGTTGCATGGCATGGTGGTGTGTCGGCACCCGAACTGATACATGCGGCAGGAGATCGCAGATTATGGAGAGGCATGATCGCCCACGCCAGTCGGCAAGGCACCTGATGATGATGATGATTCATCATTATCTGTTGTATATTTAGTTTAAATACGTCAGTACAGTTTACAACTGAAGTAAATAATTACACAAGCTATTGTTGGTAGTCTGTAAACGATTACCCAGTTGGAAAAGCGATTGGTGTCGTGCAATTCCCAATACTTCACATTCTCTTACGAATTCCCCATACTTCATATACTTCTGTCAGCTCCCCATTTCTCATATTCTATTGCCGATTCTCCCATCAATCCCAAACACATAATTTTCTCTTCCCAATCACACATTCCTCATATTCTCCTCCACTTTCACGGTTATTTTTATGCCCAACATGAACGTGCCTCCAGTAGTATGCGACAGCCCTGCCCACTTTTCGTGCTTGCCGTGTGCCTTTTCTTCCAAAAACCATACCTTATATAATATAGGCAGTTATATGACTGTTCTTTCAAAAACATTTCTCAGTTCAATATAACGCAACTGTTTCAGTTTCCGTGCCTGACCTTTATCCCTTGCAGGCTGCTTTTTGAAACTGTGACACCCTCCGATCAGAAGATAGTCTGCATGGCAGACCAACAGAATCTAATTTGGTGGCACTGTGAGACTAAAGAATCTCCATGCTGGAAGACAGACCAACAGGACCTGAAGGGTTGACACTGTGTGACTAAAGAATCTCCATGTTGGATGACAGACCACCAGGACCTAAAGGGTTGACACTGTCAGATTAAAGAATCTCCATGTTGGATGACAGACCACCAGGACCTGAAGGGTTGACACTGTCAGATTAAAGAATATCTATGCTGGAAGACAGACCAACAGGACCTGAAGGGTTGATACTGTGTGACTAAAGAATCTCAATGCTG